GAGCGGCATAAGAACTTCCAAGTACGCGCTCGTGTGATAGCCGGTTTGGGGTGCACAACCTCCTCAGTCGGGTATGTGATGACACCACCCTCTAAGCAAAGCTCATAGATCAACGAAGGGTGCCCTAGACCACCGGTAGTCGATCCTCTCAAAGTATGTATGATGTTGTTGTGAATAACTTTACCAACATCTATGGATAGGCGGCACTGAATGGCATAATTGAGGGTCGCCCGTTCCTTTGTTACTTCACTTAAGTTGCTACTGGGAATAAGTTTACCAGAAATGAAGTGGTGCCAAGCCTTACAACCCGAAGTCATACCAGAAGTAGGGAAGTTAATTCCATCAGTCTCCGAACGTTTCCATGTTGTGCCAGTTGTAGTCAAGGCTTGAATAACCTCATCAGGATCAACACCTTCGTTACGAAGTCTAGAGTACTCGTCATTTTCAATATCGTGCAAATGATAAAACCTGTTGATGGAGGTTCTATCAAACGGTATCCATTTATCCCGCACAAACACTCGAAAATCTCGATGGTCCTTCGCATTGGCGTAGAACTCTCTAACAACCGAAATTAGCGCCAGTCGTGGTTGCCGAGCAAACACCTCCCAATTCCGCCGACCTATTTGCTCTGTCATATAATTGTCAAAACCATGTTCAGGAATACAGGTCTTGTGTACCACCAAGCTATTATAACGTTCAGCGGCCTCCGCACTAATGAATTTGCTCCTGTCAAATGAGCTAGAAGAGGAGGCTACGGCTTTAGTTCTCTTTTTAGGCGGCATTGGACCTGTACAAGGGTAGAACAGCAAACCATGAGCAAAAGCAGTAATAAAGGACAATAAGGCAAGGCTAAAAATCTAGCCATAAGAGGAAACTATGGTCGAACGTGCAATTGATGTACTCTAAACCCAATTTTCAACTCATAATCATCTACATGGCAATTCCCACATAATTCAATTAGCACAATAGCCAAAATAGCTCCTTCTACCCAACTACGTTCACCTAGACAATTCATCAAACACATTGAATGCACCAAATTTCCACCAAAAAATTGCCTATAATTTGGGAGTAGTTCATGCCACAATATTCGCACCACACACAAAGTTCTTGACACTACTACAAGGCAAGCCCTCCTCGTAACATAATTAACAAAAATAGGCACATAAACGCAACAACTATAATGTAAGAGGAGCAAATACAAAAGCCATACCTGGAATGGTGTTGTGAAAACTAATTGGGATGGATGAATGCACACTTATCAACAAAGAGATGTGGAAAAACAACAAAGGGGAGTGGTAGGGGGGGCGAAAAAAATGTGGAATTGAAAAAAAAATGTGATGTGGGTGAGGTGATAATATAAATTTAACCAAAAACAAAACTAAAAAAAAAAAAAGGAAATGTATAAAAAAAAAATTTAACCAAAAAAAAAAAAAAAAAAAAAAAAAAAGAAAGAAAGAGAGGGGAAGAGTGTACCTTGGAGGGGTTGAGGGGGAGAAGAAAAAGAGTAAAGGCAAGGGTTAGGGGGAGAAGATGAGAGTGGAGAGGGAAGAGATGAGAGGGAAAGAGGGTTGGGAAAAATCGTATGAGGAGGGATGGGGGCTTAGGGTATAAGAAATAGACAAGAAAGGAAGAAAAAAAATAAAAATAAAAAGGGGGGAGGTCAGGTTCGCAGCCCCTGGGCGCTGCGTTTCTGCCCGAAACGCACAGACGCAGCGCCTGGGCGCTGCCTTTCTGCCAAAATAGGCAGATCCTAGTGCCTGGGCGCTGAGTTTCTGCCTTCGTTTTGTAAATTTTTTTTTTTTACCTCACCCTTTTTCACACTCATTCATTTTCAGTGTAGAGCTCAAATTTTGCGATATGTAACCTTCATGGATTCTCCTACAAAAGCAAAAGAAAGAGTTACTACAATAGTATAAATTATTAAAGGAAGAAAACAAAATCAAAGCATAAACCAATAATCAAATAAAGAATAGAGCTTGGGTTGCCTCCCAAGAAGCGCTTTTTTTAAGTCATTAGCTGGACGTAGTGCCGCAGTTATTCGGGAACAGCTAGATCAAGACTCTCTTTAGCGGTGGGAAAATCTTCCACATAATGCTTGATGCATTGACCATTTACTTTGAAATTTCCTTTAGTTGGATGGTGTAATTCAACTGTCCCGTAAGGAAACACCTGAGAGACCGTAAAAGGGCCGGACCATCGAGACTTCAATTTTCCTGGGAAAAGTTTAAGTCGGGAATTGTATAATAACACTTGATCCCCTACTCGAAAAATTCATTGCCTGATGTTCTTGTCGTGCCACTGCTTTGTCCTTTCCTTATAGATGGATGCATTCTCATATGCCTCTCTTCTGAATTCTTCCAACTCATTTAGCTGTAGTATTCTTGTTTCTCGAGCCTTTTCGAGGTCCATGTTTAACTGCTTCAATGCCCAATATGCTCTGTGCTCAAATTCCACTGGTAGGTGGCATGCTTTCCCAAAGACTAGTAGGTATGGGGACATTCCTATAGGCGTTTTGTAAGCTGTGCGATATGCCCATAAAGCATCGTCCAATTTTTTTGACCAATCCTTGTGAGATGCATTCACAGTGACCTCCAAAATTCTTTTCAATTGTCTGTTTGATGTTTCCACTTGTCCACTTGTCTGAGGGTGATAAGGAGTGGCAATTCGATGTTGTACTCCTTACTTATGCAAAACTGCTTGGAACAACCGTTTGCGGAAGTGCGTTCCACCATCACTTATAATTGCCCTAGGTGATCCATATCGGTTAAATATGTGTTTCTTTATGAAGTCAACCACCACCCTTGCGTCATTAGTAGGCAGTGCTTTAGCTTCTACCCATTTTGAAATATAATCCACCGCAACCAGGATGTACCGATTGTTGTAAGATGATGGAAACGGACCCATAAAATCAACCCCCCAGACATCAAATATTTCCACTTCCAAAATGTTGTTAAGTGGCATCTCGTGACGCGCTGATATGTTACCAGTTCTTTGACACTTATCGCACGACCTACAGAAACTGTGGCAATCCTTGAATAATGTAGGCCAAAAGAAACCACATTGGAGCACCTTTGCTGCTGTTTTAGTGGGGCCAAAGTGCCCTCCATAAGCCGAAGCATGTACTCGTGAGAGGATCAGTTTCATTTCATCCTCAGGCACACATCTCCTAATGATCTGGTCCGCCCCTCTCCTATACAAATTTGGATCATCCCAGTAATAGAATCTCGCTTCATGACTGAGCTTCTTCTTTTGCTGATAGGTGAGATCCGGATCCATATAGCCATTGGCTAAGTAATTAACAATGTCTGCATACCACGGAGCTTTTTCTACCAGCAGTAACTGTTCATCTGGGAAGACCTCATTGATATTCATATTATCTGAATTCTGATGTTGCTCTATCCTTGACAAGTGATCTGCTACCTAATTTTCTGTTCCTTTTTTATCACGAATCTCGATGTCAAATTCTTGTAGTAACAGCACCCAGCGAATTAGCCTTGGTTTCGCATCCTTCTTCTCAAACAAATATTTCAGAGCTGCATGGTCTATATAAACTATCACCTTGGACCCAATCAGATAAGAACGGAATTTGTCAAAAGCAAAAACAACTGCAAGCAATTCCTTTTCACTTGTTGCATAGTTGATCTGAGCATCATTCAATGTTTTGCTAGCATAGTAGACAACATGAAATACTTTTCCGTTGCGTTGTCCAAGTACTGCCCCCACTGCAAAGTCACTGGCGTCACACATGAGCTCAAAAGGCAATTCCCAATCTGGAGCCACTATCACAGGTGCCGATGTCAATTTTTCTTTCAAAATGTTGAAGGCTTTCAAACACTCCTCAGAAAATTGAAAGGGTATATCTTTCTCCAGCAAATTACACAACGGTTTTCTAATTTTTGCAAAGTCTTGAATGAATCTTCTATAAAACCCTGCATGTCCCAGAAAACTCCTGATCTCCTTTACTGAATTAGGTGGCTGCAATTTCTCAATCACCTATATTTTGGCTTTGTCCACTTCAATCCCCTGTGCAGAAATTCTATGTCCCAGTACTATTCCTTCATTTACCATGAAATGACATTTTTCCCAACTAAGCACAAGGTTCTTCTCCTCACATCTTTGCAATACAAGAGCCAATCGCTCCAAGCAATCGTCAAAGGAATCTCCAAACACAGAAAAATCATCCATAAAAACTTCAATGTACTTTTCTACCATGTCAGAAAAGATAGCCATCATGCATCGTTGAAAGGTTACCGGTGCATTGCATAAACCAAAAGGCATTCTTCTAAACGCAAACGTTCCATAAGGTCATGTGAAGGTTGTCTTCTCTTGGTCTTCTGGAGCAATTACTATCTGATTATACCCTGAATATCTGTCCAGAAAGCAATAATGAGAATGTCCTGTCAACCTTTCCAACATCTGATCAATGAATGGCAATGGAAAATGGTCTTTTCTGGTTGCATTATTTAGCTTTCTATAATCTATGCAAACCCTCCACCCTGTCACTAACCGTGTTGGTATCAGCTCGTTGTTCTCATTCTTCTCCACTGTGATTCTACCCTTTTTAGGTACAACATGTACAGGACTCACCCACGAACTATCAGATATGGGATAAATTATTCCTGCATCCAATAATTTAAGCACTTCTTTTCGCACTACTTCTTTCAAGGTTGGATTCAATCGACGTTGTCCTTCCACTGATGCCCTCGACCCGTCCTCCATTAGAATCTTGTGCATACAAAGAGTTGGACTGATCCCTCTTATATCTGCTATTGTCCATCCAATTGCCCTTTTGTGTTGCCTGAGTACCTCCAGCAATTTATTCTCATCTTCCCTTGTCATATCATTTGCAATGATTACTGGCAGTGTTGACAATTCTCCCAAATATGCATACCGAAGATGGGAAGGTAAGGGCTTAAGTTCAAGAGTGGGTGCCTTTTCCACCGAGGGTACCGGGGGAGAAGGGTTGTTTCCTAGAGATTCATACTGCCAATGCCTTCTTGCTATGGTTGCTCGGCTAAGTTGACAATACATTCAGCTTTTCCTGCATTTGTTGCTTCCAATTGTGCAAATTCTGCCTCACAAAGATTTGTGTGATGCTCTATATCGAATGTATCCACCACAAGCTCTTCAAGAACATCAACTTGGTAGCAAGTGTCGGAAGTCAATGGGTGTTTCATTGCCTTGAACACGTTGAATATGATTTGCTCATTATCCATTCTAAGAATCATTTTTCCATCATACACATCAATCAATGCTCTCCCAGTAGCCTAGAACGGTCTTCCCAAGATCAGAGGAATATTTGAGTCCTCTTCCATGTCCAAAATGATGAAATCAGCCGAAAAAATAAATTTGTCGACTTTAACCAGCACATCTTCAATAATTCCCTTTGGTCGTTTGATCGATCTGTCTGCCAGTTGTAATAAGATTGTTGTAGGTTTTGCTTCTCCTAATCCAAGAGACCTGTAAACAGAGAGAGGCATCAAATTAATACTGGCACCTAAATCACATAAAGAATGTTCAAAGAAATTAGAACAAATTGTGCAAGGTATAGTGAAACTCCCTGGGTCTTTTAGCTTAGGAGGTAGCTTTCTCAATAGTATTGCATTGCACTCCTCGTTCAAGCATACTGTCTCATGTTCTTTCAGCTTCCTTTTGTTAGATAGGATCTCTTTCAAGAATTTTGCATAGCTGGGCATTTGGGCAATTGCATCTGCAAAAGGAATATTGATGTACAGTTTCTTGAAAATCTCCACAAACTTGGCAAACTGATTATCCAACTTCTTTCTTTGTAACCTTTGAGGGAATCGAATTGGTAGCACATAAGCCTTCACGGGGCTGGGTGCTCTCACTGCAGGTGTTTCCTTCCTTTCGTTTTCCTTGTCAGTTGGTTGTTCAAACTCTATTTCTTTCCCAGCCTCTTCACCCATTTTTTTCCTTATCTTTTCGCTCAGGTCTCTTCACATGAATTTCTGGAAGTTGCACCCCACTCCTGGTAGTTATAGCTTGCACTTGCTCTTTTGGATTGACCATTGTATTTCCTGGCAATGTCCCTTGTGGGCGTTCTGCAAGCTGTTGAGCTATTTGACCAATTTGTGTTTCCAACTTCTTGATTGATGCTTGCTGATTCAGAAAATTAGTGTCAATCTGCTGAAACACCTTGTCAGTCTTCTGCATATACTGGTTGAACATCTCCCCCAAACTTGGTTTTTTCTCCTGTTGGGCATTATTTGAACTGTTCCCTTGTTGATTATCTGACCATCTGAAATTTGGGTGCTGTCTCCATCCTGGGTTGTATGTTTAAGCAAATGGATTAAAATTTCGAGACCCATTCTGAATGAAATTGACCCGCTCGTCGAGATAGCCTATAGATGTGCAGTTTTCTATCAGATGATTAGCCCCGCAGTTCTCGCATGATGGACTAGCTGTCACTGCATGTGCTCCTTTCGTTTGTGATTTCACCAATAACTCCACTTGTTTTGTCAATGCCACTATTTGGGTGTTGGTAGCTGCTGCGCTGTCTAACTCATACATTCCTCCTATCTTCGGTGGCGCCACTCTTTTCGATGAGAACATGGGATGTGTAGTGGCAATCAACTCAAACAGTTCCATGGTTTGCTGCACAGATTTTCCTATAATTGATCCTCCAGCTGAGGCATCGACTTGAGATTTTGACAGTGGTGTAAGTCCAGTGTAGAAGTACTGCACTTGATTACCTATAATAATTCCATGATTTGGGCATTTTCTCATCAACTCATTAAACCTATTCCATGCTTCGTGATAGCTTTCTCCCTCTTTCTGTTGAAAAGTCTGAATTTCTAATCAGATTTTAGCTACCCTCGCTGGTGGGAAAAATTTATTACAGAACTTCCTAATTAGTTCTTCCCATGTAGTAATGCTAGCATGAGGCTCAGCATCTAACCACTCCAATGCAGCATCTCTCAATGTAAATGGGAATAGTCGTAGTTTAATAGCATCTTCATTGACTCCTGGAGCATGAAAGTTCTGACAGTTCCTGAGAAATCTAGAAATATACGTGTTTGGATTCTCTTGAGGTAGCCTGTAGAATTGTAAGGTGTTGCTCATCAAGTTAATCCAATCTGGCCTAATCTGAAAGTTATTCACCCCAAAATCTGGATACACGATACTGGAGCGCATGGGTGCTGCTATAGGTGTCAGGAACATTGATACTGGCAAATCCCCTTCATTTATCTCCCTTTGTTCATGCTGTTGTTCTGGTGGTGCCACCACTCTTGCGGCCATTTGCCCAATCGGCTGAATAGGGATATGGATTTGTTGATTGTCAGCCATTTGATGTTGCTGTTTTTGTTTATGTTCCTTGCGTCTTCGTCTGAAGGTACGTTCTATCTCCGAATCAAATGGTTCAAGATCATCGCCTTGGGCACGGAGCATACAACGAACACACTTTTCTGTAAATAAAAGAAAAATAAACTAATCAAATAATAGCCAAAATAAAAAATAAATTAAGACTAAAAGAAATAGTCCCCGGCAACGGTGCCAAAAACTTGTTGTATAATTTTGTTTCACAAGTGTACGATCCGTAAAAAGTAATAGTGGACCTAAGAGTCCGGTTATCGATCCCACGAGGACTATTTTGTAGCACTTAATTTAATCTTTCTTTAACTACTATTTGACGAATGTAAATAAAAAACAATGATTAAATGTGATTTTTATTCTAAAGACTTAAAAATGTGATTGGATTCAATGAAAAGTGGTTGAGAATTCAAACAATAAATGGATGTTAGGGCGGAACAATTTCACCTATTGGTCACCTTTACTTCATAAATCAAGATTCATAAAACCTAAGGTAGTGTTCAGTCGAATTCTTCTATTGTGTTCAACTTACCCCTCTCGAGTTCTTATTGAGCCTACTTAATTAGTTTAATTCCATATCTCTATGCAAATTAAATTTAATTAAACGAAACATTGGTTCTAAGAATTCACACATGACCGCAGCAATCAATATAGGTATCTCTACACATTATATCAATTTACCGGATTTTAACATGTGGTCTAAACAAATAATCCGCATCTCTATGCAATCATTGTTCACAAATCATCTAATTAGTGATCAAGTAATTAAATGTATTAAGAACAATATTAAAATCAATACATGAAATAAAAAAGAACTAGAATCTCAATTGCATGAAATAAAGGGTTCCAAAAGATTGCATTGTTCGCCCTAACATGAAATTTAACTACTCATAATAATGGAAGAAAAATAGGAGATTGTCTTAGAATACATCACCGAGTTTGTAATAAAGGTGTAGAAGAAAAAGAGGAATTCTTGCACCAAGATCTCCTTCCTCTTCCAATGAGTGCTTCCAATCTTCAATTCTTGGTGTTAATCTTCTTAAATTTCTCCTTTGAATCTCCCTTCTTGCTGTTTTTCTCTCCAATATGTCAAGAACCCTTCAAAAGTATGAGGAGGATGTATTTATAGGTGCCTCCACATTTTTATGTTGAAGTAGGGTTTCTATGGCTTTAAAAACGGCCCAAAAAACGCGCCCTAAATCGCCAATCGCAGTGCCTTGGTGCTGGCTATAGCGCCTGGGCACTGTGTCTTCAGTGCCTAGGCGCTGGCTATAGTGCCTGGGTGCTGTGTCTTCAGTGCCTAGGCGCTGGTGGTAGCGCCTGGGCGCTATGGTTGTAGCGCCTAGGCGTTGCCTCTCGGGTCCAATTTTCATCTTTTATTCGTTTCGTAGCGCCTAAGCGCCATCTTTCTGCCCCAATTCCGTGTTTTTGGCCTCTTCATCCACTTTAATACTTTTTTTCTCATTGCTTCTCCTTATCTTCAAAACAACACTAACAAACACATCAAAAACATTCTACACTCATAAAATCTAGTATTTAATCAAGCTAAAATTGTGTGAAAACCATGAGTGAAACAAACTCATCACGCTTCCAATCAAATTTGACTATAAATTCACATAGGTTTAGTTCAATGGCTCATTTCCAATCAAATTTGATAAAAATTTCGTCTGGGTTTTGTTTATCGATGGGTTTCCAATCGAATTTGACTAAAATTTCACTTGAGTTTGGTTTGTTATAGGGTTTCGAATCAAAGTTAACTAAAATTTCTCAAGGGTTTAGTTTATTTCCGCATTTCCAATAATATTTTACTCAAATTTAGATTTTATTTGTTCATTAGTGCTTTTCCAGTCAATTTTGACTAAAATTTTGCTTACGTTTAGTTCATTGGCGCGTCTCCAATCAAATTTGACGAAAATTTCGTCTACGTTTCGTTCATCAGCGGGTTTTCAATCAAAGTTGACTAAATTTTCACCTGGGTTTAGTTCGTTGGTAGGTTTCCAATCAAATTTGACTAAAATTTTACTTGGATTTTGTTCATTGGCTCATTTTCAATCAAATTTAATAAAAACTTCACTTGAGATTGGTTTGTTGACACGTTTCCATTCAAATCTGACTAAATTTTTTTTGGATTATGTTCATTAATGCGCTTCAAATCATATATTACTACAATTTCATCTGAGTTTCGTCAAATGTCTTGTTTTCTATCAAATTTGAGTTAAATTTCATCTAAATTTTTTTCATTTTTGCGCTTTCAATCAAAATTGACAGTAATTTAACATGGGTTTAGTTCATTGGCACGTTTCCAATCAAATTTGACTAAAATTTCACTTGAATTTTGTTGTTTGGCGCGTTTCCAATCAAATTTGACTAAAATCTCACCTGACTTTGGTTCATTGGCACATTTCCAATCAAATTCGATAAAAATTTCATCTAGATTTTGTTTATCATCCAGTTTTCGTTAATATTTGACTAAAATTTCACTTGAGTTTGGTTCATTGCCAAGTTTTCAATCAAATTTGACTAAAATTTCACCTTCGTTTTGTTCATCTCCGGGTTTCCAATCGAAGTTAACTAAATTTTCTTGTGGTTTTAGTTTATTTGTGCATTTCGAACAAAATTTGACTCAAATTTAGAGTTAATTTTGTTCATTATCGTGGTTCCAGTCAAATTTGAATAAAATCCACTTAGGTTTAGTTCATTGGCGCATTTTAAATCAAATTTGACAAAAAATTCTTCTGCATTTCATTCATCAATGGGTTTCCAGTCAAATTTGACTAAAATTTCACCCGTGTTTAGTTCGTTGGCGCGTTTCCAATCAAATTTGACCAAAATTTAAATTGAGTATGGTTGATTAGCACGTTACGAATTAAAATTTGACTACAATTTCGTCTTAGTTTTGTTTATTAGTGTGTGTCCAATCAAATTTGACTAAAATTTCACATTGATTTAGTTCATTGGCGCGTTTCCAATCAAATTTGATCAAAATTTCACCTGGATTTTGTTCATTGGCATGTTTCCAATCAAATTTAACTAAAATTCCAATTGAGTTTGGTTCATTGAAGCGGTTTCAATCAAATTTGACTAAAATTTCATCTAAATTTTGTTCATTGTTGTGCTTCATATGAAATATGAATACAACTTCATCTCAATTTTGTAAAATGGCTCGTTTTCAATCAAATTTGGGTAAAATTTCATCTTAATTTTGTTCATTGCTGTGCGTCCAATCAAATTTGACAAAAATTTCACTTTAGTTTGATTCATTGTCACTTTTTCAATCAAATTTGACTAAAATTGCACCTGGGTTTTGTCCATTGAAGTGCTTCCAATCAAATTTGACTAAAATTTCATTTGAGTTTGGTTAATTGGCACGTGCCCAATCAAATTTCACTAAAATTTCGTCTGGATTTTGTTCATTGTCGTGCATTAAATCAAATATGACTACAATTTCATCTGACTTTTGTCAAATGGTACTTTTTCAATCAAATTTGAGTAAAATTTCATTAGGATTTTGATCATTCATGCCCCTCCAATCAAATTTGACTAAAATTTCACATGGGTTTAGTTCATTGGTGCGTTTGTAATCAAATTTGACTAA